CCAGGGTTTTAGTTTAATAATTATAGGGATTTTTATATTAACTTTCAATTCAGAAAAAGTTATTAATTAACAAATTTATAATTAACTTTAAAATTGGGATAAAAATTTTTTGAAAGTTTCATCTGTCAATTTCACTTCCAAAATAAAGTATTCATGCATTTATTCCATTATCCCAAATTTCAATTTTTTGAGTTGACTCGTTCAAAAAATGAAAGCGAGTGCATTGAAAAATGCACTGTATATGAATACTCTAGAAGTATTTCCATCAGGTTCATTATCAAAATCATTCATATCAAGGCAGGATGATATCTGGAGGCAGTTCGTCCCTACTCACATTGCACCTATTTGTGTTATTTTCTGAACTAATTACCAAATATGATGTTCTGTTCTGAAAGATTTTCACATCATTGATTGACATCAATCACAAAAAGTTCTACGGAATGAAAATTAATTTTGTTAAATAGCATATCATACCTAAAATCCCAATATTCAGGTTCATCTTGCGTTAGTGTGATGTGAGTATTACTATATCGTGTTCCTCTAAAATTAATTAAATAGATCTGGTAACCTAGCTGGAGAAGGTAATATGCTGTAATGAAAAATCACAGTTAATGGAGAAAAAGCTTTCTTCTCGTGATATAAATGGGTAGGTACTCACCAAGTGTTTTGTTGCCCATTGTTACAAAGGCAAGGCTATTCATGGATATGCCATGTCCCATTACAATTGGTGTGGATTTTGTTACAGAGCCCATTACTGCTCGAATGACAAGAATGTAGTAACCGTCACCAGTCAGTAACTGATATTCTTCTACAGTACATCCCCATCTTTGTAGAATTTGCGTCTGAAGAAATAGAAGAATTTTTCGATTAGAAACTAGGTAAACATTTTTTTGTGTACTTTAAAGAAACGTCTAATTTTCGTCTCGAAACTAATGTACAGCTGCATGTTGACGTTTCCAGGAATCGATGAGTAGCAATTTCCGGAGATGTGAAAATAACCTGAATCACATGAACTTCTCGAAATATGATGGAAATTTTGAATTTGGTACACAGTGTCAAACTGACATCTTGAAAAATAAGCATAGAACGGACATCCATAATTTGAATATTCGTAAACAAACCATTCTTACTATACCATCACACTGTAAAGAAATATACAAACGGTCCTTCTCCTACAATATGGCAGTCTGCATAAATAATTTGCATAAACTGGATGGATCATACCTACAACTATCGCCGTTGGTATTCAAATCCAAATTCAAAAACTACCTAGTAAGTACTCAGTGAAGTTCTCAAAAATTGCTCTGCTCTCTCTCTATAACCCTTACCTTCTTATGCTTTCCTTTCCTCTCCTTCTCTTTATTTACTTATCTTCACTCATTTAGTTCCGTTAATGTATTGCTTTCTGTTGAAACTGTAAATATCTCTTTGGCATTGGTGGAAGAACAGAAACGGTTTTCAACTGTTATCTGAACCAATTAGTCCAGCCATTTATTCATCAGAATATCATTCAATAGCACCACCACTACTGTATATTCTTCTGTTTTTTTCTTTGATGGGAAATATATGTATTATTATTACTATTATTATCATTATTTACTCGTTCTACAACCGCGTACCATCCTATCTTCAATAATGGAGGGTCCCACGAAGTCCACACCTACTACTGAAAATGGACCTAATATTGTAACCCTAAAATTGGGAAGATTACCCATCATAGGTTTTATTGATTCAGCGTTAAATCGAAAGCATCGCAAACATTTACGAACAGTGGCGCGAGCCAAGTTGCGGACAGTGATGGGCCAGAGAGTATCTCGGATAGTAAGGATAGAGTAAGCGTCCATAAGCACGCTTGAAAATATCAGTTTCGTAAGATGATGACAACTGTGGAGTAGTATGGGGTGTCTTTCATCGAACTTATAGTCAGTGTATTTGCTTCCATTTGCAGTGCAGAACAAGACTTGAGTGTATCACATATTTCAATAGAACGAATTTTGTCCTGCCTTGCATTTTCCAGAAACGTCTTACCTACCACCGACCGTGAGTCACGCTGTATAATGTTTACTGAAAAAATCTATCATTCGATTTTTGACAGACTGTTCCATTACTTCAGAAGAATTATTGATGACAAAAATTGGTCACAAACAGATCATTCTATCAACTGATCCGCTGATAGTCAACTTCAATACAAAGAGCAATTTTGCTTGAGAAAGGAAAAAACAAAATAACTCACCACATTGGCAGGTGCACCATCAGGACTTTCAGAGCAATTGGTACTCAATGGGTCGAGATAATCTAACCATGACTTACAAGTTCTCACTTCTTCACTGGGATAAATGAAGAATGACAAAAATATCAGTATCAGATATTGCAGTGATTTCAATGAGTTCATATTGACATTCGATTTTTGACAGACTGTTCCATTAGTTCAGAAGAATCATTGATGACAAAAATTGGTCACAAACAGATCATTCTATCAACTGATCCGCTGACAGACAACTTCAATACAAAGAGCAATTTTGCTTGTGAAAGGAAAAAACAAAATAACTCACCACATTGGCAGGTGCACCATCAGGACTTTCAGAGCAATTGGTACTCAATGGGTCGAGATAGTCTAACCATGACTTACAAGTTCTCACTTCTTCACTGGGAGAAATGAAGAATGACAAAAATATCAGTATCAGATATTGCAGTGATTTCAATGAGTTCATTTTGAAGAGTCGAAATCATAGTGTTGAAAATTCGTTTGTGAACTATATATAATAGGAACTATTTTATCTAGAATGTTTTCATTTTCGTGAAATGACGAAATTTGATTTCAGACAAAAACAAGATAGTAATTGTAAGTAGTAACAATTTGGTGATTCGTGGTTCCAGGGTATGATTATTTTGAATAATTTCAGTATGTTCAATTCCGATTAGTCCTATTCAAATACATTCGATCTCATTGGATTTTTCCACTGGAACTGAAAAAATGTTCGATATTTCGTCGAAGCAGCAATTTTCTCCATCTTGTAGAATATCGTTTTCATTTCATCTTAGGATTTATTCAAGTATCATAATAAATAGTTCTAATATTTCTCAATGTATGTATCTTTCCCCTTATTAGGTCCGGGAATAATATTTTTGAAACTCGTTTCCTATCGTCGCTGTTGATTATTATGTCGGTATGGTAATATTATTTTCATTTGATAAGCGGACATATGCAAGAGTTACAGAGGCGTGAAAGAAACAGAACACAAAAACTGACAAATTATCAGCAAGTCATTATCAGTCCTGTTATCCATTCTCGTTCAAAAATAAAATATTACTGTTTAAAAAAATCTGTTTAAAATCTGTTTTTCTATTAATCAGCTGAAACAAAATTGTCAATTTTTCAATGTACATTTTATTTGGCAATACCAGGGTTGTAAGTTCAGATTTTTCTAAAAAAATGCAGTGAGTACGGAATAATAAAAAATTTATCGTATAGGAAATACTCAATTTTTCAATTTTTTTGAAAATCCCAAAGAACACTAACAGTGAAAATTCATTCAATATTGTATTAACCCAGTAATGAAATTGGCAATGAGGTATCAATCTGTAGATTTGTCTCATATACGAGGTGAATAGGGTGATTTTTCTCAAAAACTATTCATTTATGTTGCAATATCAACATGATGTGCGTGACACAAATACGTTTCGTGATCCGCCTTTATTGTGATTTTGGCAGTTAATTTCAATATAAAAATTTCGTTGTTTTCTCTAGTAATTGTGGAAAGAGGTACCTTCATCTTCAAGTTCTGGTGAGCTGTCCCATCTTGAACTTGCTCACTCCCTGTCACCAAAAAACTTCCCATTATCTTGGATCGTTTTCTTATTACATAACCTAGCTCTTTAACAAATTACACAGGCCAATGATGGAAAAACTTTTTTACTTAAAACACTTTATTATTCTGCTTTTAGGATGCTAATTCCAAATATGANCTAGAAACATTCTCTTACCACCTCTACATATGAAGTTAGGCCTCATGAAGCAGTTTGTGAAGGCATTGCCTAAAGATGGACCTTGTTTCAAGTATCTCTGTTAGAAATTTCCAAACCTCTCAGAGGCTGAACTTAAAGAAGGCGTCTCTGTAGGACCCGACATTCGAAAAATGATGTTCGACGTAAACTTTGAAACCACAATGACCATACACGAGGGAGAAGCATGACTATCATTCAAGCAAGTTGTTACAAAATTCTTAGGAAATGCAGAAGACCCAGAATATCGTACCATTGTGGCTGACATGTTGAAGAATTTAAAAAAACTAGGATGTTTGATGAGCCTGAAAGTTCACTTCTTGAACAGTCATCTTGATTACTTCCCGGAAAATTTGGGAGATGTTAATGAGAAGCAGGGTGAGCGTTTTAACCAAGATAATAAATTGATAGAAAAACTTTACCAGGCCCGCTGGAACATCAACATGATATAATACAATACAATACAATACTTTATTTTTCCTGAGACTTTTTTACAAGCATGGAAATCGTCATATACACATTAAAGATTGGAGTTGAAAAATATCAATTGATAAAATATGGAACAAACATAAAACAACATTGAATCAATAGTAGATGTAGGAGATAATTATATAAAACAATTAAAAAAATACATAGTATAAACAATAGAATATTAACAAGCAAACAATCGTGATGTCAAGCAGCCAGATCAGTTTGAAAATATTCATCAAGTGAATAAAAGGCATTTTTGTAGAGAATATTTTTAACGCTATTTTTGAAATTAATGTGATATGAAATTTTCTTAATGAATGTTGGAAGTTCATTGAATATTTTGATAGACGTAACATGAGGTCCGTTTGATACAGATGTTGATTTGTGTACAGGAACTATCAGATTATAATTTTGCCTGAGAGTATAACCAGCAGCTATGCGGATAGTATCCCTTTGCCGAAACTCATGGTAAAGATTCTTAATGTAAGTGACACAATTTAAAATATACATGGATATCACAGTTAAAATTTGTAACGCAGTAAATAACTGCTTACAAAAATCACCATCTTTTTCAAAACACATGGTTCTTAGTATCTTTTTTTGAGCAATCAACAGATCATTCAATTTGCTGTTGTCACCGTAGCAGACTGAGCAATAATTTAGACTTGAGTGAAAATAGGCATAGTAGTAACTTAATGAAATATTTATAGGGACAGAATTTCTGAGATTCCAAATGACGAAACAATGCTTGGATAATTTTATAGAAATAGAGTCAATATGATCACTCCAGGATAATTGGGAATCAATGTTCAACCCTAAGAAGTTGACTGTTTTTTTCTGCACAATAGATTTAGTATTAGCTCTAACTAATATACTGCAGTCCATTTCTCTAAGATGGGTGTTGCTGATTTTACGTAAAACAGGCGGAAATACTTTGTCAAATAGATTGAGGAATAAGGAGTAGAATTTGGAAAATTTAGTGTCAAACTCAATGTTGTTGAGATATACGAAGTCCCAAGATTCACATGACAGTAAGGTTTTGAAATAATAAATGTTTTTTGTCATTGAACGCTCGTTTGAGAGTGTAGTAGGGCTCATCAATAGAGCAGGATTCAATTGAAGGTTTAATAATTTGGAGTGCATGGTCAGAAATAATAGAATTTGGTAAGAGGTGGACAAGAAAATATTATCGACTGTAGACATACTGCTTCCCTGTATTCTCTATAACTAAAAATATAGGTCCGTATTTGAAAATTCAAAGATGGAGGAGGCCCAAGTCAGGTGACACCCTATATAAAAGAACATGGACATGTTCTGAGAGCACACATCAAGTGCCAATAGGAGAATGTGGATAGGTTTTCAATATGTCTGCGAATAAAGAAGATAGAGGCAAAAAAAAATTTGGGATTTTTCGGTTTTCTCTGTATATCTTCAGAACCAAAAGAGCTATATTCGATTTTTTCACATCACTGAATAGGTCTCTAAAATACGCGACTTTGCCATAATTCAACCGACGATTTATCTCTTATCGTTTACGAGATCCCCATGTACAGAAACGAATTTGAATA